AGTGTAGTGTGCAGCCAGGTTTTCAATGTAAGGGGAATGGAATTGCTGGACTGCAGGGTATAGGCATCATTAACTTCATTTTATGTGCTAAATTGCTCTGCGATGTGTGGTAACAATTTCAACTCTTCCATTGTACATGAAGGTGCCTAAATACTTTCAAATTTTTGCCAATATGATAAATCTATACTGGTATCTCCTTTTTATTTCAATTTGCATTTCCCTGGTTACTAGCAAGGATGAACGTGTTTACATGTGTTTACTGGCTGTTTGTGTTCCCCTTCCTTGAATTGTCTGGGTAATGTGAAACAATATGGCAGGCAGACCCACTTGCACAGGATGTGCGCATGTGAGCATGTAATTGGGTCCCCACTGGCCTTGCTGGGTATTTAAGCAGGACTTATTCAACTTCAGAAACGGTAAGTGAAATTTACAGGAGGAAACTAATGAATGTATTATATTTAATAAAATATAAGTACTCACATTTGTCTTTTGTCATTAAGAATTTAAAAGCTACTGAAGTACTGAGAAACTTGAACACTGCTCTTTTGCCAAAAATTACCTACTTTTTAGGTTTCTGATTGTGCAAACTTTAAAAACACAAACCCATTTTTCATTAAACAATGAACACATTCTGAATTCTAACTGGTTCATTTAAGAATGAAAGGTTTCGTCCTGATTCTTGCTGCAGCGTGGGAGACAATCGCTCACTCAGAAGACCTCTCTATCCAAAATTCAATAGCATTTTCCCCCCAGTTCCTTATTATCCTCCTTTCCTCAGTTGAGAAATAACCAGCAAAAACTCAGGAAACCATGACACTATTTGTGGTTTCACAGCTCCCTCTCCTGGACAAAGCTGACATTGCACAGCAAATGCCCACCTTCCACTGCATATTACAATTAAAATTTTGTTTCTTTATTTCTACTTTACAGCCTAAAGCTGATTATATATATATATACAGTGGTTTGTATGGAAAATAAATAATATAAGAATAAACTCTTAGGTACTCAACAACTGTAAACCTACATTTGCCCCACCTTGTATTTTATCTATCTACCTACCATCTCTCATCTACCAGTTACAGATAAATTAGTATAGGTAAGTACTTGATAGACAACTTGGCTTGTTTTCCTTCTCTTCTCCTAAGTCTGTGTGACAGAAATCCCCTCGATAAAGTGTTTTAAAATGTTGTTATAATTTGATAATTTATCCTTGACGATGTCTTTTCCTTATATACTAACTATTCTCAATTTTTTAATCCTGTCAATGTAAGAAACATCTGCAGATGAAAAGGGGCTACATGCTGTGACAAGTTCAGGGGAGGCCTATGTGAGGCCTTGCAAACTCAGAGACCTAAAGTAACCACAAAGAATGGTATGAAAACTTTTTAACTAAAAGCAGTTTGTAGCAGGTAGTCATGTCCTAGTCCCTGACAAAGGTTAAAACAGGGAATCGTTTGGGGGGGTCTGGAATGGATTAACTTAATTTACATTATTTCTAATGGGAAAAAATGCTTCCGTTTTCGGGCAGCCTTCCCGACCAAATTAAGTTTAAGAACCGAGGTTCCACTGTACTTAGATAAATTTTACCATATAGCGGGAGGACCAAAGTTTCCTTTACCCTCAGGTCTTCTGGCTGATCTAATTATCAAATAGATCTGAGACAGATTGGCAATAGAAAACAACCAAATTTAATACATACATACATATGTATGGGAACCCCACACACATGAGAGTCAGAGACTCCCCATGCAGGTGAGGGTCAGAGATAAAGAGGGGTTGAGGTATTTAAGACAACTTGTTCTGGACCCCACAAGGATAATGTGCCAGGAAGGATAATTATCCTCTACCCCTGAAGGTTTTCTGGATGGACTGATAATTAAATCATCATGAGACAGATTAGCAAGAGAAAAGCAAATTAGCAAGAGAAAAAAGTGTAATGACATGAACGGGAGAGACCCAGGAACAGGAGTAGCTCACCAGAATGGCAGGAGCCATCACCTTAAATAGCACCTTCAGCTACAGACAACATTTGCTCCTTTTCTTGAAAAAGTTCTTTTAACAGTAAAAGAAGACACATAACAATCACTGTAATAAAATGACTTCAACAATAATGCATCCTGACAGTTGAAGAGCCCAGACCATAATTTCCCTGTGCTGGTGCCATGACAGCAGCTTCACTTCTAGGATAGACGCAGGGCTCCGAGGGACAGAGATTGCCAGTTACAAGAAAGAACAGTTTTCTTTCCATTGGTAACTTTAAAAACACCTGTATTTTTGCTACAGAAAATTCTGCCACTAGAGTGTATCGAACTCAAAGATACATTTTTGTCTAATTGACTTAAATAAAATAACTATAGCCCTTAATATGGTATTTTAATTACAGTTTTCTTGGTAACAAATGTAATTAATGACTAAACAATAATTTGTGATGTTTGTGAAAACTAATTCTCAGACATTTAAGTAGTCCCATATTTATGGAGGACTTAGAGTAGAAATAATTCTTTTTATTGAGGCATACCTGATATAACATTACATTAGTTTTAGGTGTTCAACATAATAATTTGGTATTTGTATATACTGGGAAATTACCACCACAATAAGCCTAGTTAACATCTGTTTTTGCTTTTTGTGATAAGGACTATGTTAGAAATTACTGATACCATATTAAATTTGATAATTCATAAGTTTTGTATGCCACATATAGCTTTCAGTCTCAAATTACTTTATAGATTAATAATATATCTCACAGGTAGGTTTTCTAAACAATATTTCATATTTTCCTAAATGTGGAATTAATTTCAATGACATTATTTCTGTAGTAATTTGCTACCTGAAAAAGATTATTTTATTTAGAAAATTTGCCTAAACCAAATATGGATTTGGAAAGCAGTATAGAACTTGGTGATTACTTGGAGGGGTGGGATGGAAGAAACAGGAATTCACAGATTCCAGCTTGAGAAACAGCATGGTTAGTGACACCATTTACTGAGATTGAGGAGGTTTGAGAGCAAATAGGTTTGTGTGTGTGTTGGAGGAAGAAGGTAATGAATGCAGTTTTAGTTAAATAGATTAACATGCATAATCTTGACATTCCGAAGGCTTTGCTGGCAACAAATACATCAATGCAGAAAGCAGTCTTTGAAAGAATTATGGGCAACATCAAGTACCACATAAAGAGAAAGATGATCCAGTCTTGTTGGTGAAATATAGCACAGAGACTTCTTTGACCTACTCACAGGAGAAGTGTTATAACCTTGGGCCTGGCAGCTCCTGTTCATGGAAGACAAACTGGGGACTCGGGATGAGCGTTTGGCTGTAGTGTTGGGTAGGCTCTTCCGGTTCAGAAGTCAGCTCAAGTAACCAGGAGCAAAGAGGGTGAAGGCTCAAGAAAGGAGATAATTCTGAAGATACACGATAGGGGAATAAAAAAGCATCTCAAAGTTCACAGGTGTTGGAGCTGAAAACCCATAGGAACCATCCCAACAGCTCTGGGCAGATTCTCTTCTTGAGCTTGTTCTTAGCATCTTTGCTCCTCTCATAGCCCAACTCCACCTTATAGCTCCTATTATTGCATCCTTTCAGGTTCTGTTCCTGCAGCTGACTCACAGGTTCTCAGTGTTTTCTAGTTTACAAAGGCCTTGAACTAGCTACCTGCCTCAGTTATTATTTTTTGATACTAATGTTCAGGGTCATCAGGAAGCCTACTGACAGGGTACCCTGAATAAAGTGTCCACAGCTGTCACCTGAAGTTGGTCCAAAAAAGGAGAGACACAGAATAAAATGGTTCCCTCCTGTGGTGTTTTTAGCAGGGACAATTCCCTCAGAATTGAATAGGGTTGTGACAGGCACCACAATTCTTCAATATGATGTTAAGGTAAGGCTCTTCATATCCAGACTGCCAGACCTTCTGATGATGTGGAGTCCCCTGTGTAAGCTCTGGGTCCATGAAAGTCTGGGGGAATGTATACCTATTGAATATCTATGGCCATTCATATAACGAGGAGACAAAAACAGCCTCATTAGCAATGATGTTAATCCCCTGGTTTCACAGAAATTAATCCATAGCATTTCTGAAAAAATAAGAAGCAGGCAAATGAACAGATTGAGCCCATGTTCCCCTGCATCCTCTCGGGAGCCCAAGGACCTGAAGATAAAGACCACTCGTCAGCTTCAATCAAAGCCACTGCTCTCCAAGGGCGTCCGGCAGTCTCTGCATCAAGCGCTCTTCTGAGCTGACCTGCCTTTCTCTGGCCTTCAGTGACAACTTCTATAGCGTTCAGGCACTAATCTTTTGGTTCTGACTGCCCCAGCCCATGTTTTGTATGGATTATGACTCATTTCTGCATCCAGGCACCCACCTCAACACGATCCAACAAAACTTGAGTCATCTAAAAGTCTAACTCCACAAGATTTGTCCACATACATTTCCAACATGGCATATGATTACTCCCAAATATGTAAAAGAGCATGTGATATTTAAATTTAACCCCAACTAGTAAGGAATAAGAAAATGAATCAGAAATAACTATTTATTTAGAGTTTACTGTATATACTGGGTACTTCATATATTATTTCATTTCACATTTACAACTTACCCTACGAGGTACCATTATCTCCAGTTTACATTGAAAGGAATCAAGACACAGAGCAATTAGGTGGCTTCCTCGAGGTCCCCAGATAGGTGCAGAGGCTAGGTTTTAACTCAGGCTGTCTGACTCCAAAGCCCAGTCTTTCCACTTCCCAATGCTGCTCCCCTAGAGTGGGTTCAATGGGTGAGAAGAGTTAAGAAATACTGAATCGTTCATCTTTATAAAAGCGAGCTGAATAACGTTTTAGCTTCATTTTCGGAGTGGCCCAGCAAGGGAGCACTTGGTCAAGCGTGACAGACATAACCTAGGGTGTACAAGGGCACCTTGAAGAACATTTATAAACACACAGTCACACGAACACACACACACAATGTTAGGAATCATTTAAAAAATCAGATCTTGGCTCAAAGAGATAATTAATAGTTAACCTTTATTATTTATTAAAAATGAACTTTCTAAAATATTAGTAAATTTTGTTTTTAGCTCTGTTTTGAAGTGTTGATACCAGTGAAGTAACATTTTTCTTCTTTGAATTTTTTCTTGTAAAGTCATAGTTTTCTCTTTTTCTAGAACAGCAGGAAGTTCCTTCCAGTTCTTAATAAAGATAAAGGGAGCGCCCATGGACTTGAGTAACTGCAGAGGAGCATTCTGGGAAACAGATGTATTTCCACAGCTGCCAGCTGTCATGACATCTTCCACCACAGGAACGGAGCCATAGGAGCAAGCCTCATATATTCTATAACATTCCGTGTTTACTCCTACTGGGCACAATGTGAGGTCGCTCTGGAGCAAAGCTTCTTGATAATTCTTAAGGCTTTCATTTGTTTCCTGAGGCTGCCACCTGAAAAATCAGGAAAACAGCTGTAGTTTTTACTTTACTAAGCATATCTTTTGTGGAAAAAAAAAGGTTTTACTTAAAAAAAAAGTTTTTATTGATTTTTTTAAAAAATATATTTTATTGATTGTTTACAGAGAGGAAGGGAGAGAGATAGAGATTTAGAAACATCTATGAGAGAGAAACATTGATCAGCTGCCTCCTGCACATCTCCTACTGGGGATGTGCCCGCAACCCAGGTACATGCCCTTGACCGAAATCGAACCCGGGACCTTTCAGTCCGCAGGCCGACGCTCTATCCACTGAGCCAAATCGGTTTCGGCTTTATTGATTTTTATAGAGAGGAAGGGAGAGGGATACAGAGATAAAAACAACAATGAGAGAGAAACATCACCGATAGGCTGCCTCCTGCATACCCCTACTGGGGATCGAGCCCACAACCCGGGCATGTGCCCTGATCTGGAATAGAACCAGTGACCTCTAGGTTCACTCAGGCACACCAACTGGGTGATTTTACCTTTTAATGTCAGTTACAGGCAATGGTAAACTATTATAGAGATGACAGGCAGAAAAGATAAATAAAATCTTGCCTAAATAGATTTCTTGAAAATATTTAAGAATTTGAAAAGTTTACAGCTACACATTTTTAAAATCCAGTGGTCACCATAAAATTTCTGAATGAATGTTAATTCAGCCAATATTTTCTGACTGCCAAGTTCTTCTCTCTCTACCTCACCCTCCTAATTCCTGCCCCTTGGAGCTTATAATCTAGATCTAGTGATAGAGACAGGTAGCAACCAAGTCAAGTCAGTGAACTACTTAGAAGGTGTTACTAGTAAGTGCTGTGAGGAAAAATGAAGCAGAGTGAGGGAGGGGTTTCTGAGGGGGCAGTGTTGTGATCTGAAATAGGTGATCAGGAGCATGTCTTATACAGGGGTACCTGAGCACAGAGCTGGAGGTGAAGGAGCAAAACATGCAAATATCTGGGGGAGAACAGAGAGCAAAGAAAGTATAAAGGCCACGAGACAGCTTGTGTGTGGCATGTTCAATGAACACAAAGAAGCCAGAGTGGCTCTGGGGGAAGGATGAGGTCAGAGAATCCTGTCTTGCAGGTATGGATCAGAGGGGTGACTGACCTGATCTGTGTGGTATCAGAATCAATCGGGCTGTTCTATTAAGAATGGACTATCCAGGGGCAAGGGTAGAAGCTGAGAGGCCAGTTCAAAAGCTAGATGTTCTCTCCTGACTGTTCCTATGCTCTCAGTAAAATGAGCAATGGGGTCAGAAGGTATGTGTAGTTTGGAAGAGAGAACACGTTATGAAACATTCTCTTGGAGAGTGGAAGAATACAGAGACAAGGGAAATGGATGACTGTTGGACACTTGAGGGTCAAGGGCATGTATTAAAAATGAGATTGATTGGCAGCTTCCTCCAAGTGTTTGGTTGCATGGGTATAGGTTTGGTGCAGGCAAGAGAGCTAGATTTAACCCGAGTTAGGGTTTGCTAAATTAAGAAACAATCATAGTCAACATCTAACCATGATTGACTATGACATTTAAGTGGGGTAAAGAAGAAAGTAAAGGTATGAGGTGAGCAAAGGACAATGAAAAGGGAGTAGGAACAATGGGTTGTAAGTCCCAGCTAAACTGTAGGAGATTATTACAGAGAATGAGCTGGCCTGACAGGAAATGGTGGTTATGGAGAGAGATGCTGGAACTTGAGACCATGGAGAAGAAGCAGTATGTGCAGGATAAGGTCTAGGAAAGGACCCTGATAGTGAATAGCTGAGGTCACGTGGAGACCAGATCATGGAGGAGAGGAGATAAAGGAACTGCAAGACCAAGGTGATGGAAGGACCATCTATGTAGATTGGGGAGTCACCAAAAGTGATACTGGAGTAATGTCAGAGAGAGTGTGCCAGGAACTAAACTCTTCAAAGAATTAAGGAGATAAACCCAAAGGTCAGAATACAACATCAAAGAGTAAAAGTAACGGATGGTTTTGTCTGCTGGCATGAGATTCAAAATTGGAGGTTTTAAGGAGGGAAAGGGGAGAACGGTCTGGAAGCAGCAATGGGAAGCAAGGAGGAAAGCTACTTGACCTCCTGGCCCAATGGTCTGAGAAGAATTACAAGAATAATTTTATTCCCACTATAAACTTTGCCATTATACACTACCCTCACTCATTCCATTCCAGGCACACAGTCCCTTGTTCCTCAACCATGGTAAGCATGGTTCCGCCTTAGGCCCTTCACATGTGCCCTCCCTCGGCCTGAACTACTATTCTCCCAAACAGACACAAGGCTCATCCTTGTGGCTGAGCTTAAATGTAACCTTCTAGCTCAGTGATGGTGAACCTTTTGAGCTCGGCGTGTCAGCATTTTGAAAAACCCTAACTTAACTCTGGTGCTGTGTCACATATAGAAATTTTTTGATATTTACAACCATAGTAGAACAAAGATGTATATTTTTGATATTTATTTTATATATTTAAATGCCATTTAACAAAGAAAAACCAACTAAAAAAATGAGTTCGCGTGTCACCTCAGACACACGTGTCATAGGTTCGCCATCACTGTTCTAGCTAGTGCTTTCTTGGGCCACTCTATACCAGCAAATTCTCCACTCCTGATCCCTCATCCTCTCTACATCGCTTCTCTGCTCAACTTTTTTTTTAACATGGCATTTCTCATCTTTTGACACATATTTTACTGGTTTGTGTCCTCCAATAAGCATCTAAGTCCTAAGAGGGCACTTATGACTATTTTGTTCACTGCTGTATCCCTCATGGCTAAAACAGTTGCTTGATAAATGCTTGTTGACTGAATGGATATATTATGGCTACACAAATAATGGAATTAGGAGTTACGCTTTCTAGAAGAGAGTATCTGCTACAATGAATGCATTTCTAGATCTAGAAGGACATTCATTCTCTGGTGACTCTGCTTTATACACGCAAAACTCTATTTGATCTTTTAAAAACAAAGTGAGTAATTCCAAAATGTCTTCTTTCACTCCAGAACACCTGTTTCACAATTACCAGGTAAAACAATGGAAGAAAGTCAATCCTATTAAATCAATGTGTACATCCATCCATCCACTGCCCCTTTATCCTGGCCTACTCTATACAAGGTCCTGTGTTAGATCTGGGGATCTGAAGAACAGTCCTTGGGTGCTGTCAGGTTCCTGAGGAGGGAGGAATGCTCCAGGCCAATACTGGAACACTGAGCTGGTCTGCAGAACACCTCAGGGATGACCTAAGACCTTATTGGCACATTCCCTAGTCCCTGTGTGTCAAGTCTGACTAACAAATATGATTGAGGAAACCCAAACAATTGACATTGCATATGACAGTTACTAGTGTTCTTCTTCAAGATGAACTATAGCTGTAAGAGATTCTCCCTGTTTTAAACGTATACAACTCAAGTTCTTCATAGTTTCAATTACCAATCTATCTCCTAGGAAAAAACAAATATAAGTGGAGTTAACACTGTCTCTTTGGAAAACCTGTGCTGCCACATAAAGCAAATCTCAGACAGGAGACAACATGAATGAATCAAATAAACACATAACTTACTGTTCTCTTACTGAGACCCAACAGAGCTTATCAATTCCACCTTGTTTCAAAATGTTCATGAGTGCTTGTCTGGATGAATTTTCATAAATAGTTCCTAGGAAATTACATAAGTAGGGCCTTTCATTATACAGCATTGACCAACTTGCCTCCACCACAGGGAAATTCCTGTACCTATAAAAACAAGTACATGTGAGTTAACAATATATGACAACAGAAATGGCACAATTCCCATAACCCAACATCTTAGCATGATATAGAAAGAAGAGATTTAGAATGCCTTTCTAAACCCACAAGTTAATTTTCCATGCTTACTTTTGAAAAGTCCTTAAATCTACTGACTTAAAAAAAAAGATTCTCACAATGAAATCTTTTACAAAATTGCAATAGAGACCGTGGGCCAAAGGGCTTTGTTTTTTATATTCTTCAACTTCTATTACACATCTGTAGCTGTAAGGCAGGTTGAATTCAAGACCTTATAAGTATAAATAATCTTTTATATTTATAATGATCATGATGTAATGAGTGCTTTAGCCAAGTGATAGCATACATATTGTTAGAGCAAAGAGCTCCCAGTTCGAAAGCTGTAGGTAGATTCAAAACAAAACAAAACAAAACAGAACAAAACAAAACACACACAAAAAAACTTGTGCGCCATACAGGAGAGACCTATTGCAATTGGCCCATTTTTATGGGCATTTGGAAGTAACAGAAATCAAATTGTGTACCTGAAATATAACCTTCACGTAAGAGCAAAGCTTTATATAACAGTCTACAACAGGTTTCTCAACCTCAGCATTTCCGCCACTTGGGGCCAGACAATTAAGGTATTTGTCGCGGAAGCTGTCTTCTACATTGTAGGATACATCCCTGGCCTCTCTCTGTTCACCAGATGTCAGTATCACCTCTCTTCCCTCCCCTGTAACAACCCAAAAGATTTCCAGACATTGTCAAATGTCTCCTGGGGTAGGGAGTAGGGGGTAAAACTGCCCCTGGTTGAGAACCACTGATTTAAAACAGAGATATTGGCTAGTTCAACATTACCAGAATTACAGAGATTCCATCCCATACTGTATTAATAAGTTAGGTAGTATTACTGTGAAAAAGTAATATTTTTTGGCTTCAAAACAGTTTATAAATATAGGCTCTACTTAAGGGATAGATTTTTCAGATCCATCCCTTGGCTATACTTAATTTAACCTTTTTGTCTGATCCTACCCCAAATCTATTGAATCAGAATGCTGTAGTGGTAAGCTAGGGATTCTGCCTTATTAATGGGCTTCTCTGGTGATATTCATGTATCAACTAGGCAGCAGACTAAGGCCACATCTTGTATAATAAATATTTGATTCAGACATCATGTTAGTGAACTTTTTCATAATTCATCCATTCAGCAACGATTTACTAAGTGCCTACTTTGTGCAGGCACTGTTTTAGGCTCTGCAGATAAAGTAGTGGAAAAAAAAAAAAGACAAAAATCCCTGTCACTGGGAAGTTTATGTAAAGTAGCAACTCATCTTAAAGCCAACTTACTTTTAATAAAAATCCCCTCTATTAACAGAAAGATAAAAAAAAATAAGTGTTTTTCATGTTTTGTTTTGTTTTTAATTGATTTCAGAGAGAGAAAGGGAGAGGGCGAGAGGGATAGAAACATTAATGATGAGAATCACTGATTGGCTGCCTCCTGCATGCCCCCTACTGGGGATCAACCCAACAACCTGCTCATGTGCCCTGACCAGGAATCGAACTGTGACCTCCTGGCTCATGGGCCAACTCTCAACCCTGAGCCACAGGGGCTGGGCAAGTTTTCCATTTTAAAGAGTTTATATATGACATACTGAGAAACCTTAGCTATTAATTAATTTTTCTTTTTAATAGAAATGTGTGCAACCAGTCTTAGTGGCAGATCTGAGCATATTACTGGTATAATGCTTCAAAGCCCAAAGGTTCAGTGTGCTCCTGATTTAATATTACCTTTAAAGAAAAGTAGGTTTTTTTTTTTTAAAAAAAACTGTTAATTATAGAGATTCTACAATAATGGCTTTAAGGGGGTCTGTTTGTCTGCCATCCTCTGCTAAACCTCTCTTTAAGGAACTGTTGATAAACTTAAAAATTCATCCCATGCCTTGTGATTTTGAAACACAAAAATGTAATTCATCTGCCTTCCTCATAAAAGGTGAAAATACTCTTAAAAACATAATTATCATTGCTGAAGCAGGAGACCAAACCATATTTTTTCCCATGGGAAAGATTGTACCTGGCCTCAATGATCTCAAAAGAACTATATTTATTGCAAACCTAAAACACAATCGCCCTGGTTCTGAAATTCAGGTCTTAGTCTAGAAACATGCCTAATATTTTGTACTTACGTTGCTACTCCTAAAGGCCACTGAAAAACATCCATGTCATTAATCCAGGGGCTGTCATATATGATGAAAAGCAGCTCCACAAAGCCTCCATTTCTTTTGAGGAATTGGTTGATCCATTCATTGTTACAATGTTCATTTCCAAGCAAAACAACAGCAACATGCTGGAGTTTTTGAGTTTGTACTAAATTTTGTACATAAAGTAACCACTGGGTGGCATAAAAGACCTTTGCTTTTTCTCTTCCATTTAAAACGAGTACCACATTATTCACATCAACTGAGAAGTACCCTGGGACTACAGCTGGACCAGTGATGAAGCTGTAACAACAAAACAAGATACAAAGAAAAAAGAGAACAACCAGAAATTTTAAATCATTTTATATAAAATCTACAAGTTGAATGTTCCTATAAAAGCTTGCACTCACTGTGATGAGTAATGAGCTCACTACCTTCTTATAGTAGCAATATCTGGAAATTCTAAAAAAATAGGATCAGACATATTTTATTCTATCATGATCTTTGGAAATAAGTTCAACTTTTTTGTAAGTGACAGATGATTATTGAAAATATTAGAATTGAATATTGGTAACGAGTTAGCATCTGGTTTTTGTCTTATCAAATGAGTAGAAATTTCTATATATATTATGATAATGCCTGCACATGGAAATTACAGGATTTGGAAGGGAGTTTTCTGGGGATAAGCAAAGGCCATGATGAGCAGAAGTAAGATTTCTCCTTAGAAATGAAAACTAAAGTTGCCTGAAGATTTCAAACCATAAATCAACAAATGACGGATATGAGTAGAGACAGGCAAAGTTCCTTCAAGAGACAGAATGGATCTCAGGCTGGCTTGTAACCTACTTGAATATATTAATATAAAGAATATATCAATAAGGTATTTGTGGGGAGGTACATGATGGAGAAATAGTAGACAGTAATGGAAGCACAGAAAAAGTAGAACTGAAAGGGAGGGAGATGTTGCAGTACCCATTTAAGTATTTTTAACAACAAGACTTCTATAGTGATTATTATGTGCCAGAGACTATACATCTTTTTTAAAAAAATAAATTTTTTATTGATCTCAGAGAGGATGGGAGGAGAGAGACAGAAATGATGAGAGCGAATCATTGATTGGCTGCCTCCTGCACACCCCCTACTGGGGATGGAGCCCACAACCCGGGCATGTGCCATTGACTGGAATCGAACCTGGGACCCTTCAGTCCATAGGTTGACACTCTATCCACTGAGCCAAACCGGCTGGGGCGACTATACATCTTTTAATGCATTTAATCTTCATAGCAATCTGGTGAAGTAGAAACTACTATTTGCCTTATTTTAAACATAAAGAAATCCAGGCACAGAGAGAAGAAACCTGCCCAATGTCAGATAGCTAATAATAGGTAAAGCTGGAATTTGAACTGGGATATTTTGGCTGCAAAGTCTATACACTTACAACTCAATCACACGGCTCCTCTGCCCAGAGGTGACAGGGCTTCATGAGGCTGACTCAGAAGTTCGGTGTGCCCTACACGTATTCATGTATTCATATGCTGAGACAGACTATGTTACTGATGATTCACTGGTGAATAATGAGTCACTTATCCCTTCTGAAACACATAGAGTTTGGAAGTGATACCACTGTAATTAGTCTAGTTCTTAATAATGGGAAAGGAGCAAAGGGAAGGCCAAATATTCTAGGCATGTCACTTTGGCAGCTTCACCATCAAGCTACAACTTTACACTTCTCAGGGGTCCAGCAAAGGGAAGAATAGACACATGCCCAGTAAAGTTGGGGGATTAGCAAAGATGCTTACTGTCACACTGGGAACAGAGGTCATTGGCCAGAGTGGGCGTGGCCACTGCAAGCACAGGAAGATCTGGGATGCTTAATTCCCTGAAGGAAGAAGTTCTCTCTCTTGGTTCCTCTTGTGCTCTTGGTTGATCCTGGCTTGTGGGGCTTTCACTCCTGCTTCCTCCATTCGCCCACATGGCCCATGGCCTTGTGAACCCTCACAGACAATGGACTAATGAACTGTAACTAGCCTGATGCTGAAGTGGATCTGGCTATAACATGGAATGGAAACTCTGGATACTGGCTTTGCTTTTAGCTCTACTGAAACCCCAGCTGCACCTCTTCTATAACTGGACTAAGGGAAATGGGACTTTGGGAACCCAGGAATGCAATTCCACGCAAATAAAAATCACTCATCCTCCTGTGAGAGTCTCAGAAAACTCTTTTTCTTGAGATATCATAAGGACTCCACCTCCAGCATCCAGTGGGGAAGGGGATACCCCAATAACAGAAGTACTGCACATTGTTAAATCCCATATTTTGATTCCATATTTAATTGGGTATCAACTGTAGCTTGACTATATGGAAAGAATGTGCTGGTCAAATCAATACAAGCATGTGGATTGGCAGTTCTAGTTCCTGTCTGAGTTACTTGGTATCCTGGATTACATTTTTTGGGCCTATGAGCTGATAAGAATCAGCATTCATGAGCCTGATTAACCCTGGAACACTAATGATATCCTTTCTACTTCTGCCTCAGAATTGTTGTGAGGCTAAAAGTAAATGACATAAGCTCTTTGTAAAGGAAAAGATTTAAACAAACTACATTACACGTATTTACAAGTAACCTGATAGTACTCAGAAACGCTTTCCGTTTATTTCTTCAAGGTGACCCATCACTTCAGATTCACTTTTGGTCAAACAAGGATGAAAGTGTTGAAACATTTAAGATATAACCCCTGTAGCTCAATTCAACTCAAAACTTGCAATTCCATAAAAGTTTATGAATTTAGCAAAATAAGCCATACCAAAAAACTTAAAAACCATATGATTTCACTCATATGTGGGATATAAACTGAAAGCAACAAATGAACAAACAAGAAAAACAAACAAAAACTCACAGACAACATGGGGTGGTTACCAGGGGGTGGTTACCAGAGGGTAGTAAAGAATAATGGGGGTCAAATGTATGGTGATAAAAGATAATTTGACTCTGGATGGTGGGCATACAATGCAATATACAGATCGTGTATTATAGAAATGTGTACTTGAAACCTACATAATCTTATTAGCCAATGTCACATGGATAAATTTAATAAAAAAAGACAAAAGTTTATTAATTCTGGATAAATAAATTAGGTATACTACTTTTCATGAGCCTAAAATTTGAATAACTTGTTTTTAAAAATCTGCCACAGTAGTGAACTTCTTTGAATAGATGGTTCTCTTAAATCCTAAGAGAAAATAGCATTGCTATTTGATCATAATATAAAATGTCAGGTAAAAATTTCAGAAGGGAAGATTTTCTTTTGGGAATTAGTGCTGTTTGCTCAAATCCTTTGCTATCATTATAGTAACAATATATAATAACTTCTCTGAGAATATTTAAGACTTTTTCCTGAAAATTCTGTATATTATGGGTAGAACTATTACACTAATACTGATAACACATTTACTTTTTAAAATATCAAACATTAGATTTACATGCATAATTCTAATTGACTTTCAAACACCCAAATTCAGCTGTTGTAAATTTAGGACTATGTATATAATAAACTCTTGAATGGGATTAGATCAATAGAACCCAGGAGATGAAAAGAAAAATAATCATTATCAACGATAATATGAAAAACCTGTTTACAGCCCTAGCCAGTTTGGCTCAGTGGATAGAGTGTTGACCTGTGGACTGAAGAGTCCCGGGTTCGATTCCAGTCAAAGGCACAAGTCCGGGTTGCGGGCTTGATCCCCAGTAGGAGGCATGAAGGAGGCAGCCAAAAAATGATTCTCTCTCATCATTGATGTTTCTATCTCTTTCTCCCTCTCCATTCCTCTCTGCAATCAATAAAAATGTATTTTTTTAAAAAAACCCTATTTACTTTTCAAGAATGATTACTTTGAAAAGATTCATGCAATGAAATTGCTTTCCAAGTGTATCTATACTAATAAAAGGGTAATATGCTAATTAGACCGGACATCTTCTGGACATCCTTCTGGATGTCCTTCCAGACAAAGCCACGGTGGCGGGGGCTGAGGCAGAGGCGGTTAGGGGAGATCAGGCCGGCAGGGGAGGGTCTTTAGGGGTGATCAGGCCAGCAGGCAGAATGGTTAGGGGCGATCAGGCAGGCAGGCAGGTGAGCGGTTAGGAGCCAGTGGTCCCGGATTGAAGAGGGTGCAGGCTGGGCTGAGGGACCCCCTCCCCCCATGCACAGATTTTGTGCACTGGGCCTCTAGTATAAAATAAAAAAAAGAAAAAAGAATGCAGTGAAAATTCAATTAAAAATGAGATTAATTACAATTTTTCCTCTTGATTTCTCTAAGAAATGGAATCCTAACAGAAAACAGAATCTTTGGTTAAAAATTTTCCCCTAACATCATTTTTACAGAAAGGCATTTTAAAATAATTATTTTTATTTTTTATTTCAATAAAAAGCAAAATCTAATAGAAAATAGCATTCTTTCATATGATAAAATTATCATAATTTTTCTAAATTAAATCTTAAGTCTATCTATTAAAAATCTTTAGAAAATATGCAGTTATAATGAAAAGTTTTATAAAAATAAAAGCTCAAAAATGTCTTAACAATACATTGATTTTATTGAATGTAAAAAACAGATTTTTAGTATTGCAGTAAAGTTCATAGGTCTATGCTCAACCACTGAGCCATGCTGACTGGGTGAGATTTCTCTATTCTTAACAAGTTGAAGTGGAAATACTTTCTATGATATAGTTTCCTCTTATTTTCCTTCTAGTATTTACAAAAAACATTGTATGGTAAACCAGCAAAGGTTAATGTTATAAAATTAATACCTGTAATGTGTTCTTCCTACAATTGAATTTCCTTCTCTCCATTGAGCAGTCACATCAGTAGGATCAAGTATGCCTTCAAAAATATGCTCCCAGAGATACAAACCTAGTAATTACATAAACAAAACCATTTACTGTCTGATCTACTCTGGTATGTAGAATGAGCATAAGTTCTGCTCTTTTATAGCATTTGATTAGGAAAATAGATTTTTGGTAATAGGGTACAGCAGCTATAGGAAACTAGAGATTATGTACTTATATATTATGAGTACCTATAAATGGGGTATAATATAACAAATATTTTAAATTCTGGAAGTGGCTTTGGAATTAGGTAATGGAAAGAAGCTGAAAGAATTTTGAGGAGTATGATTTTTTAAAAAGCCTAGATTAAATTGCCTTGAACAAATTGTAGGCAGAAATATGGATGCTACTGACTCTGCTAGTGAGAACTCAGAAAAAGTTGGGAGCACAGTAGGAAAAAAACCTATCATCTTAGGGGATACCTAAATCATAAGCAGACTGTTGGTAGAAATATGTACATTAAAAGCAATGTTGGCGAGGGTTTAGGAAATGAGTAACATGCTATTAAAAACTAGAGAAAGTGGACCATTTGTTATACAGTCATACACCACATAATGACATTTCAGTCAGTCATATTAGATGGTGGTCTCATCCTATCTAATAAAAGACAAAGATGCTAATTGACCGTACCTTTGCCATGCCCATCAGCCAATCAGAGTGATATGCAAATTAGCCACAACAAAGATGACAGCTAATTTGCATACTGTAGGCAGGGCGGGCCAGCGCGAGCCGCCAGCCGGGACCCCCGTGTGCCGCCTAAGCCCCGCCGCTAGCTGGGACCCCCATGTGCCGCCTAAGCCCCGCCGCCAGCCGGGACCCCCGTGTGTGGCCCTGGGTGGCGGGGCTTGGTGGCGCGATCGGCCCGAGGAAGTCCTATTCTTGCAAGAATCTTCCTGCAACGGGCCTCCAGTCTATATATATAAAAGCCTAAGCAACCGAAAGACCGAACAACCAGTCGACCAGTCGCTATGATTTGCACTGACCACCAGGGGGCAGAAGCTC